GAACCTGGACAGAAAGCTGCTGATGGCAGTGACACCCTGGGTGGGCGACGTGCTGCTGCCCTGCACCCTGCAGACTGGGAGGATGGCTTTTCATCATACAAAAGGTAGTGAGCCCCAGCAGGGGTAGTGCTCTGCTGCTTCCTGGCATCCTGCAAAGGAATGCCCAGCTGACTGTGATGGTGGGCTTCTTTTCTAGCTGACTATATTCGAGAGAAGATTAAATCGATCAGTCTCACGAGCACGCCCCTGTTTGCGCTTTTCATTCAGGTAAGGCTTACTGTCTTAAGAGGATTTTCTGCTTTCAAACAGTAGCAATCTTCTGTGTTTAAGTAATGGTTTATCTTGGTTTCTTAATTGAATTACTGGATTAATCTGACCTCATGTTTGCATATGATGTTTCTTAAATAAATCTGCATCTGAAATCTAATACTGTCAAGGCTTTTTCTGTAAGTGTAAGGATGTCCCCAGAGCCTTGCACATGAAGCCTCCCCATCCATCATGTTTTGTCTCTGGCCCTGTTAGAACATTCTGGTTCTCAGGCAAATTTTAATGAAGTTCTCATCTTCCAGCTCTTTCAGATTGATACCAACGGCTGTATGAAGGTTATTCGTGGGAGGAGGCCGAGGCAGTTAGCGCTGCTTAGGGCTGATGCAGGGCCTCAGCAGGTATTGTGCATGGTTTCTAAGCTTTTCCCTTGCAAATCTTGACTAAAGCAGGGTTTTTTTAATTGTGGGGCCAGCAGAGCTGTTTTTGCATGTGTTACCAGTTTGTGTTGGTTCAGAAGCATCATAAAGTGCTGGTTCTGTGGCTGCATGTATAGGATGTTGGCAGATGTGGGTTTGATTCATGTCTGTGCTGTTTTAATGACCTTTACATATCTCAGAAGTATAATTTAATATAATTTTTTTTGCAGGCTTCCCAAAATACGGACACTTCCTCAGGTACCTGCCAGAACATTTATTTTTATGATGTTCAAGAACTTTCCCTTAATTCACCACCCTTACATTAGAGACCAGTTAAACTGAAGGAGACTTTCTGGAACAAAACCACATTGCCATGCTCATTTTTCCTAGCTCTTGGATCTTTCAGTTATTGGCTAAATACGTTACCCTTTGGTAAGGACTGGAAAACATACTGAAGGGCTGGGGGACCAGTGTCAATGGGCCACCAGGTCTGTGGACTATCACTGTTAGGCTTTTCTCCAGCACTGTACTGGAGTCAAGGTGCTGGCACCGACCACAACCCCAGTTTGTGGTTGTCACCCCAGCTGGGGTGAAGTGCCCATGTGCTGCTGAGCAGTACAGTTCCTTGGGTGCAGTGTTAAGGTGCTATCCTGTCCCATCTGTGATTTCTGGGGAAAGTTACATCATTACTGAACTAGTGGTGAGCTTGCTGCTGCCTCACATTTAATCTGAAGGATGTCAGAATGGGGCTTGGTTAAATGAAAACTATAGTGTTACAGGATCTTTCACAATCAGGAATCCTGCCGTTTCCTGTGCAGGGTATTTGATGCTCAGTAGCTAAGGAATGGCTTTTGAAAATACTTTTCAATCTTTTCCATCGTATTGCTTTATTTCCCCTCCTCTGCAGGCAGCTCATCACAGTCTTGTGTTCAGAGGAGCTCCCGAAGGGGCATCCCGAGGAATGCTGTGAGGAGACCTTGTACCTTAAAAGCAAGGGAGACTTCTGCCGCTGTCCTTGAGAGCAGCACCCCAGCCACACAGGGAGCTCTTCCAGCCCAAGTGCAAAGGCATAAGCCTAAAACTGTCTCGGAACTGTTGAGGGAGAAGCGGCTCAGAGAGTCCGGGGCTAAGAAGGCTGTGCAGAGGACAGTGTTTGTTACCCCACAGATGCTGGTTTCGGCGCCTCTCATAATCCAGCACTCACAACAGCAAGTCATTCCTTCTGCACAAGCAGGGAGCAAGCCTGCAGCAGTTGGTTGTACCAACAACCAGGTACAGTGTGCACCAGCTGCACTGCCAGCATTTACTTCTGTTACAGGTTCAACTTGTACCACTGTTGTGCTTGAAAACCATTCCTCATCAGTGCCAGGAACTGGGGAAAGCCCTGGTTCCTCACAAGGAACAGAACTGCAGTCCAATAAGGAACAAAAAGAAGAAACTTTGGAAGGTAGACCTGAAGCAGGGATTTTTCCAGGTGTGAATCCAGCTGCAGCAGAGAAGGCCTCAGATCAGGGAGTCTGCAATGGTCAGGTCCTAGCTGGTAGCTCAGCTTCAGTAGTGTTACAAAACCAAGCTTTTGTGCCACATCAGATCACAGTGCTGCCTGTTGGCATTGAGTCTGGCACCAACAAATTGCCTCTTTCCACACCAGTTACCTGTGAGCTGAATAGTACTGTGCCACAACAGAGGCCTGTCAGTCTCTTGTCGACTCTTGTAACCCCACCGACTGGTTCTCATTTGATTCCCAACAGCATACTGCCTTTCACATGGGTCATAACCCCCCAGGCTTTGCTGCCCACTGCTGTGCAAACTGTGGTGGGGGTTCCCCAAGGTCTGCCAGCTGCTGCTGTGAGAAATCCATGTCAGGCAACTGTGACTTCCAGTGGCAATGTCTCTAGCTCAGGAGTGCCTCCTGTACCAGCTGGAGCAGATGCACCTCACCCCAGCAGCACAGAGACAAAAGCACCGAGCGCCCAGGTAGCAGAAGGAGCATCTTTGGGAAAAGCAGGTGACCATTCCACAGTTACCTTGCCTGTAACCTCAGTGAGTCCTGGAAGCACCACAGCCAGTGTTTCTCCTGCAACACCAGCATGTTCAGAGGGCTGCTCCAAGTCTTCAGACTCCCCTGCAGCTCAGACTGCTCCTCCATCCAGTGCACCAGCCCTGCATGCTGTGCTGCTGCCCCAGACACAGCAACCCGCAGGCACTCGGGGAGCTGATTCCCAGCGTGTGTCGAGTCTCACTAGCTTGGGAAAGAGCCATGATTCCATTACAACAAATGGATCATCATCCAATCCAGGCATCATCACAAAAGGTCTTGTGCTCCAGCCAGTAGTTCCAGCTCCTCGTAACAATGCCCTAAACAACTCTTCTGCACGAGTACTGAAAAACAGGCCTATTGCCTCCAAGCCCCCAGCTGTGCAGTGTGCTGACAGTGCACCCCAGCCAACCACTTCCAGGGCAGAAAAGACTGTTGTTGACTTGGGCCTGATTTCCCTTGAAGACAGGAGGCTGGTGAAGGAGTGGCTGAGTGGGAAACAGGGTGTCCAGGTACCGTCACTGCAGACCAGGCTGCCTTATTTACCACCTTTTCTGTGCAATTTAAGAGCCCTTGCAAATCTGCTTCTGCAGAAAACAGCTCTGGAAGAGCAGGCAGCATCTCTTCTGCCTCCTGGCTTCAGGGGGGATGCGGGCACCGGGGTTGATTTGCACGCTGTTGGAGAACTGGTGCAGGAGAAACTCGGTGATAACCCTGCTTACCTCCTACTGAAAGCCAGATTCCTAGCAGCCTTCACACTCCCAGCTGTACTAGCAAATCTGCCTCCTCCGAAAGTGGCAACGACTCTGTCAGCCAGCAGGAAGCAATATGAAGAGAGTGACGAAGAGGAGTGGCAGAGTGAGAAGGAAGTGTCTGAGGAAGAGAGTTGTGGGAATGAATTAAGAGGAGTACAGTTGGATTGGACAGTTGGTGATGAGCCTGTAGACAGAGATGCTGATTTACTAAATCAGGTAAGAATCAGAGCTTTCCCATAGTAAAAGCCAGCAGATATTTTTCTATTATGGCTCTGACTTTTGGGTCTGGGCCATGTTCAGTGTGGTTTGAACTGTGAGCAGTTGGTCCAGCACTCACAGCAGTTCTTAACTGCCCAACAGCTCTACTGCCAACCTCAGTCCTGCATCATCCTTCACCAGGCTCCCTCCCACTCCTGCTACTAATGCTATATCCAGGTTGTCCTGGTGCTTTTCAGGAGAAAATCTGGTAGGGGTGTAATTTATGAGAGTTGAGTAGTTTGTGTTAACCTGTGTTGTCTGGGATGCTCTGGCTCCAGCAGTGATAGCTGGTGCATCACTTGTGGCAGGCACAACGAGTGGCTGTACCCAGACAGAAACTACAGCAGGAATTGCTCTAGTTTGGTAGCTGAAGCAAGAAGAAATGCCAGTGTTGGCTGTAAGTTTCACTCTGAACTCTTTGGTGTGTTTTGTGCTTGCTGACACATTGATAACAGGATGATGTTGTCCGGATGCTTCATTTGGAAGGTAAGTGGAAGATTCTGGAAGTGTTGCTGAGCTCCTTAAATGGACAGATGGCTGAAGGGGTTCTGTTGTGATGATGCTGGTTCTCGTGGTGTTGATAGTCTCTCTGCTTATGTTGCAGGGCATGGGAGCTGAAGAGAATGCTGCACAGTCTGCCTTGGACTCCTGCACTGATACAGCTGATGCCAGTGCTCCTCAGATCAGGAGAAGCACCCGATTCAGGAAGAGGAGGAGGATGTGACAAGGAAATGTGTTAGTAACTACTGAGTGAACCTTGTATTTCTTGTCTGAGAGGAGAATCTGAAACACATGTGTCTGTGGTACAGTGAGACAATGAATCATGACCCTAGGAAAGGACTGAAATTAGCTTGACTTCTTACTGTAGGACAGAGTTCTGTGATCATCCATTAATCACAGACTAAGGCTGATGCTTTTGGGGGAGGAAAAGCTGATGTCTGCATGATAAAATTCTATACAAAAGTCATGAAGTTCAAGCATTTGGCAGACTTAGTCCATGCTGCTGCCTCCTGGTATTGTACCTGTACAATATACATACCTGACACCAACCGCAGGGTACAAGCATGTGCTTTTGGTGAAACAGACCGACTGCACGTGAACAGGGTTTGATTCATGTGGTTATCAGATGAGACTGTTTGGGTTTGTTCTCTAAAACTGGTTTCAAATAGTCTGGAAGGGCAGATTCCCTGTAAAAGTGCTGGGACTAATAGGAGTTGTTTGTGCTTTGTTGCAGGAGTCACTTGAACGAGGTCTGCCTTCCTACATGGCAGTAGGAGATGCTCTTTGCACTATTCACTTCTAACACTTCCAGCAGCCTGACTAGATGGACCTGGGGAAAAGAGGAAAAAGGCTGGACTGGTTTTCCCATTGCCTAAAGCCTGCATCTTTGGACAAGGTGCAAAGACTGAAGGAAGTCTTTCCAGCAGAGACCAGTTCTGTTCTCTTTCAAATTAGCACCTGCCATAGATGCTGGGGAGAAGACTGCTGGAGATCTGGGAAACCCAGCAATCATGGTTATTTTTCCCTTTTTGTGTCAGCCCCTATTTATGTGAAAGTTTATCCATGTTCAGAATACGCTGTGTTTTTAGTGCTGTTACGGTGGTTTTGCTCCATAGCTGACTGGCTGCATACTGCTGAATAATCAGCAGATTAATTTTGTATCAAAATGAGTCTGGAGTATTTGTTGAAATACAGATGTTTTATTTTTCTCACTTAAAAATTACTGATGTATTCTGTGTGGGGTTTTTTTTCTGGTAAATTGTGCTTTTAGTAATGTGTGTGTGAGTGTGATTGCTAATGAGAAAAATGAAGCTTGCAAGCTGCATGAAAGCCAGGGAGGATGTGGAAAATGAATATGCATGTGGCTGGAACTGCAGGGTTGAATTAGGCTTGGATTCTGTCTTGATTCCTCCACAGCCTGCCCCATACACACGTTAGCAAATCATTTCAAACCTTGTTTCTTCATTCACAAGCCAGCAATTTGTATCTTGCAGAGAGGTGTGAGGCTAGCTGAGGCAAAGCTCATCAGATCTAGTGCTGCAGACCGTGCTGCTTCATTCCACTGCACTGCTGAGCTTCCCCAGAGCACAGGCAGGTCAGAGCACTGTGAGTTGCAACTCTTCTATGAAGGTGCTTCAGGCCAGAGGGACAGTGGGTACCAATAGTGCTGTAATTGGGTGTCAGGACATTATGGGGCAAAAGGAATGGTGTTGAAATGGCTTTCCTCTTGCAGTGTACTCTCTTTTCCATAAGCCAGTATAGATAACCCTTCTTGCAAGAAATTCACATGTGCAGGGGCTCTGCCATGCAGCTCTGTCTGCTGTTCACCATAGGGCTGTTACCATGAGGCACTGGTACTAAATGTGGTCTGTGCTCTAAATGATTGTTCTCTTTGCAAGTGCTGCTCAAGAGATGTCTTTGTAATCCTATTGCTTGTGGAAGAGCTTTGTATAACTAAGAAGCAGCTGGTTTTGTTCTTTTTCAGGATTAAGCTGATCTGTTACAGTAGAACAAATACTCTAGAGGCTGGATTGGTCACTTAACAGACATTCTGATTACCTTCAGCAAGGGCACAGCTAATAGAGCTGCTGTATCTTTTTTTAGTGTGAAGCTAATTTAATGCCTAACAAGAAGCACAGGCATAAAGAATCTCTGAGCATCTCTGCCCCACTCCTAATGATAACATGGAGAAACTCTCCAGAAACTTAGAAAGCAGAACAAAGAGTAGAGTGGGAAGCTAATGGGAAAATGTGTCATGCTGCCATGGTATCAGAGTGTATGTTCTCAAGACTTCTTTAAAACAGACTGTTAGTGAGTTCTTGTTGCAGCTACAGTTCTGGGACTGTGGGAAGGAGGGGAGGCAGTCAAAGGTATGATGTTGATGCTTTAACATCATCACAATGCTGCTTGCTGTGCTGCTCCTTTAATTACTGATAGAGCCACAGCCTGTAATTTGGGAATCGTGGGTTACGTTCCTTGCTTTGCCAAGACTTGACTCTTTCCTTCAAAATTCTGAGTTGTCATAATTATGTTTGAAGCTTAAGGACATCCAAAATTAGAGGCATCGTTACAGAAATCATCCTTTTCAGCTGAACTCTAAACCAAGAGAGAATTGTTGCTGTCACCTGCTTTCCTGTATAAAGATGTTACATGAACAGCTGAAAGGCCGTTTGAAGAGCCTCTTTCTTCTCTATGATTTATTTTGTCCCCTGAAATCAGCTGATCTGTGACCTTCACTCTCTTTAGTCTTGACTACAACACAACAGAACTTTCTGGACCCTTGTTGGTACTTCAGTGCTACAGATTGGAAAACAAAGCCAGAATAAACCTAAAATCACTGCGTATGTAATGCTGCCAACTCGTAGTGCCACTCCTCCCCCATCAGCCATTCTGGCTTCCTCTTTTGCTGCTTTTTATCTCTTCCCCCCTCTTCCCTTTCCCCTCTCAGGGTATAGCTGAGTAGTTTCCCCTTTTCTCTTGTCTCAAACCAGTTCTGCTCCTGGAATGATCTCTCCTCTAGCCAGAATATAGAGGGAGGCTGCATCGAAGACGTGTTTTCTCAGAGACAGGACACAGATGAGTGCTGCTAGACCAGGGGAGGAAACAAGGAGGCTGTTTTGACTGCACAGGCTCAGGTTGGTCCCTGTAATGCAGAATGGTTTATATTAACAGGGGAAAAAAGTTCTATTTTACAGCTCCGAGGTAAGGATGTGATCTTTATTAACAGAGGAATGCAGTAATCTGGTGGGGCTGGTGTGATGGCAGGCAGGGTATTTCTCCATAAGTCAGTCCAGCTCACTGAAGTTAGCTGGCGTTGTGATGTGTAACAAGTGTGTGCTGAAGGTGTTTGGAGTCTGTCTTTGTAAAGTGAAGATTTAATATGAAGCATAGCTGAGTATCTGGGAAATCTGTGATGAAGTCAGTAAGACGGGACAGTGGTTTCTTGGGGTGCACTGTTGGGAATTGAGAGTTCATTGGAGTGTCCTCTGTTCATGGGGCTCTCAGTGACTATCGCCAGCAGACCTGTTCCTAAGTAGTTTCACTTTCCTGTTGCATTGAGATCTAGGAGATGTTTGGGTGATTGGAGGGAGACATCAAGCTTTGATGACTTCTGTTTACTCAGTATTTCACACTAGCTCTCCTTCACATATGTATCAGCAGCACTGGCATTAGCCTCAGAGCTGCTGATGCCTCCAATCCGTGGTACCACTGTTTTTAATGTGATGTGGCTGTAGCATATCGCTGTGTTCTGCAGGTGATTTGCAACCAGTGAGCTATAGACCACATGGGAGATGAGGTCCTGTGTCTAAAAGATGCTTTCCCATTATCAGTCTGTTGACATTCTTGGTTCCACCACCGCTGCCCTCACTGCTCCAGGAGGCTCAGAGTTTGCTTGTTTTGCTTTCCAAGGCAGGACCGCATTGCTTGCTCATACTCCTCACTCCCCAGCATGCTGGAAGAAGATAAGGATGAGACATGTTGGAATAACCTGGAGAGCTTCCGAGTGAAGCTGATCTCTGTGATAGATCCTTCCCGCATTACGCCTTATCTTCGGCAGTGCAAAGTGATCAGCCACGATGATGAGGAGCAAGTTCTTAATGACCCCAGCCTGGTCATGCGCAAGCGGAAGGCAGGTGGGTCAAGTGCAGCCTTTGGCTCCATGGATCAGCAGGGGAACATAAGGTGCTCTTCTGAGAGCTGTTCTTTGCAGCCGCTGTAGCAGGAGCTAGGTACAAAGGTTAGGTTTGAGCTGTTCCTTTACAGTTAAAATACTTTTGGTTAGTTACGGGGCAGTTGGCTTAGGGCTGGCTGGAGCACTGCATCCCAGGGGCTTTAATCTGCACGTGGAGAAAGTGAAGCAGTTTGTTAATTAGGAATAGGTAAAGAGGAAAATAATAGAATATCCTGTTGCAATCATTTCAGGTGTTCTTCTGGACATTCTGCAGCGAACGGGACACAAGGGCTTTGAGGCATTTCTGGAGAGTCTGGAGCTTTATTATCCACAACTGTATAAGAAAGTAACTGGCAAGGAACCCAGCAGGGTGTTCTCTATGATTATAGGTAATGCTGTGTTCTGAAAAAACAGCTCCTCCTTGGGTGTTGTTTGCAAATTAAGGGGGGCTTCACCTCCACTTTTGCTGCTCCTCAGCCCCAGTGAGCAGAGTCGAGAGCGTTCCCTGTGTGCTTCAGAAGGGTTCTGGCAAGAATAATGTCACAGGGTGGAGGAGGGAGCAGAAGGTTCAGTTCTTCCTTCTGCCTGTTCTGCAGTGACACGGCTGTAGGGAGGCGCAGAGCAGGGGGGGAGCAGTGTGGCTAATTTGATCACATGTGTCTGCAGGGTTTGCATGCTTGCGTGTGGCATGTGGTGATCCCGAGCTGCAGTGGCAAGTGGGTGGGAGCCTGTGCTCTGTGTGTGTGTGTGGGGACAGACAGGACAGCAGAGGCTGACACCTGCCCCTCCAAACAGACACCGCTGGGGAGTCGGGCCTGAGCCAGCTCCTCATGAACGAGATCATGAAGCTGCAGAGCACGGTGCAAGAGGAGCGGCGGAAGGCGCAGGAGCTCAGCCTGTGGCTGCACACCAAAGAGGACACCATCAGAGAGCTGTGGGTGAGGGACAGCCTCCTCCGCAAGCACCAGGAGCGGGCCCAGAAGATGAAGGAGGAGAGGGACAGCCTGAGCAAGGAGCTGCGGAAGTGCAAGGACGAGAACTACAGCCTGGCAATGAGCTATGCCAGGCAGAGCGAGGAGAAGAGCGCTGCCCTCATGAAGAACCGGGACCTGATCCTGGAGGTCAGTCAGCCTTTCCCCAGGCTTCCCCTTTATGTGGTCCCTGGAAGGCTGTGCTGTGAACCAGACTGGGTTCTGCCCAGGATGGCCTGGACCAGTCCAGTGTAAAGAACCGTGCATCTTCTCTAGCGGGTGGCATGTCTTGGTGGTTCCTGGTTCAGCCCTGTAGGCCCATGTGTTACAAGCTTTGCTGGGAAGAATTAAGTCTTTCCCTCATTCCAGACTGTGCTCTCTCGCAAAAGCAGTACAGGGATAACACACATCTATTGGCACACAGGCTGGACGCTCCAGAGCACCAGACTTCCTGAGAAAACAGCTGGGGAGAAACTTGCCCCATGTTTCCCGGGAATGGAGCTGAGAACTGCTGCTGCAGGTCAGAATTTTCTCCTCATTACTGATGAGCTCTGAACCTTCTTGCAGATCGACCACTTGAAGCACAGCCTTATGAAGGCCGAGGATGACTGCCAACTGGAGCGTAAGCACACGATGAAGCTGAAGCACGCCATAGAGCAGCGTCCAAGCCATGAGGTGATGTGGGAGATCCAGCAGGAGAAGGAGTTGCTCTTGGCCAAGAATCAGGAGCTGGAGAACACTCTCCAGGTTGGTGGGGGTGGTTGAATATGGACTCCTGAGCCGTGATTATCTGTAGCACCAGTGCATTGACGAGGCTGCACTGCAGATTGTGTGGGTCAGCTTGTTCTCCAGGTGAAATAGAGCACTTGGGACTGTGGGGACAGGGTTGATGTGGGGTTAGATGGCTGCTGTATCACACTGTCCAGGAGGTTGCCAGGGAACAGAACTCGGAGAAGAGCCTCTCCAAGGAGACTCTGGAGAATGACTGCAGCCAGATCCTAGAAGAACGCCGCGAGCTGTTGAACACCATCTACAGCCTTCGCAAGGAGCTGCGGCGAGCAGAGGTGCTCCAAGACAAAGTACGTGATGCCATGCAAATCCCTGCTGAGGGGGAGTGGGTAAGACAGGCAGGTGAAGCACCTGCAGCGTGGAACAGAGGAGCTGCTCACCAGCAATCCTCACTGCTCCTGTTCTAGGGTTACACTTTGGTAAAAGAAGGCACGGTTATATTTTAGCATGCAGTGTCTGTGGCATTAACTGTTCACAGTCCCTGCCTCAGCCTGCAGGGCGATGGGAGCTTTAATCATGACTGACAGCTCAGGAGCATGTACATCCACCATGTCAGCAGTCCAACCTTCTGGTTCACCCTGCTCCAGCTGGCTGAACTTTGACATGGCATGGAGGAGGTCTGGCCACAGTGGTCGGTGGCACTAAGCAGAAGTGGGGAGGGTCTAGCTCAGGCTCTGCCCACAGGTAGGGTGCTCATGACCTTGTCTTAACAGTATGCAGAGGAAAAGGAGATGCTTGAACTCCAGTGCACATCCCTGAGGAAGGACTCCCAGATGTATAAAAAAAGGATTGAAGCTGTCTTGAAGCAGATGGAGGAAGTGGCTTCAGAAAGAGACCAGGTGATAAAGCACCCATTCCTCTTGGAGCTGCTGCTAATCCCTGCTTTGCTGCTTGAAGCGGGCAGATACTGTAACCCTGACTGCACCCGTGTGACATGCCATGACAGATTGTCCCTTACACCAGGCACTCCTGACCCGAGAGCAGTTCTATGTGCAGTACTCCAAGAGCCTGGTCGAGAGGGACACGTACCGCAAGCAGATCCGGGAGCTGGGCGAGCGCTGTGATGAAATGCAGCTGCAGCTCTTCCAAAAGGAGACCCAGTTACTGGCGACTGAAGCCAAGCTGAAAAGGCTGCAGCTGGAGCTACCCGCACCGGTATGCATGGGGGGCTGTCATCTGTATGATGGGGTGGGGACAGAGTGTGGCTGCTGGGAGCCCTTTGCCCCTGAGCAGTTCAGATTCAGCTGTGTGGGTAACCATTTCCATGCAGATGTTGAGTTTAGGATAAAGACATGATGGCTCCTATTACCTTGCCCTAGTTCCTGCGTGGATAAGCTGGACTCATGCAAGCTGAGGCTTTCTGTGTTAAGAGCATGTCCAAAGATAATGAGTGACCACCAAAGAGTGGACTCTATTTGGAAACTGTATTAGCCGTTTGGATGAATTTGGGAGCAGGGTGTAAGGTGCAAGGTTTCTAGAACTAAAGGAGATATGCAGGGGGTTTAATTAGTGAGGTATCTTGTGTTCTGTCTCCACATGATCAGACAGGAGTGTAGGAGGGAGGAAGTTCACACTTCTCTGTTTTCTGGAGCTGTATATTCTCTTACTGCCACTTCCTTGCTTATAAGGAGTGATTAATTTACACTGGTTTCATTGCAGACCTTTGACCTGGATGATACCTCCTCCAGAGATTCCCAGGACGTGAGTATGGTGCCTTGCTTACCTTTTACTCCTGGGATGGTTCTGGAGGCCAAACATATCAATAAGGCCAAAGGAATGAGATTTATTCGTGAAGGATAAATCCATGAGTAGATCTGTGACTTCTCGCTCAGTCTGCTGTGTTGCAGACAGTCAGATGCACTGGGGAAAGGTCAGTTTTATGTGTGTCCTGTTTCTTACATGCCTCCATCTGTTCCTAGCTACAGTGTGAGATAGAAAAGGGGGTAGTTCTTATGCTCTTGCTTTGTTTCTGTCCCACAGCTTACTCTTCACGGTCACCTAGATGAAGACACACAACCAAATAAAAGTAAGGCTTTTTCTGGGGAAACACAGAGTAGAATTCTTGAGAGGGTGGTGCTGAGTTTCAGAGGGTCAGGAAAAACCTTCCCGGGTTTTATTTGTAGTGAGGAATAGGTAATCTGACTGGGGACTTGGGTTGTGAGAGATGCTTCTCATTGGGGTGTGCTTGGCACTCGGAGGAAGACCTCTGTGAGATGGCTCAGAATAGGTGCCCACAAATCAAGGCATCCTGCTGTACCACCACCCTTCTCACCTATCAGAAGGAGAACATGGGAACAGTAAATGCTTGTAAAGCTCTTTTGAGAGAAAAAGCTCCACAGCCTGTCTTTTTAGTACATGGTCTCTGAAACCGTCTTTGCTCCAGCTGAACAACCTGGGAAGAGTGGTATCATTAGATAGACCATGCTAGCACCTCGAGTCTTTCTCTTTGAGGTAATCTTTCTATTGCAGTTGTCATCACCTGGTACCTGGTGCCTTTGAGAAATAGCTCCTGGGTGCCTTCCCTCCCCCAGTCCTCTCGCATTTGTGGCAGAGCTGAGAACAGGACAAACCTCCTTCCGCTTCTGCTGGACCATGTGGCATTCTCAGGAATTTTTCCTTCCCCTCTTCCCTTTTGTGTTGCAGGCTATTTTCACACAAGCAGAACCATGTAGTTAATGCTGTCACTGCCTCTGTTTCTGTGGCATCCCCAGTGGAAATGATTCAGCAGTATGGAAAGGAGTTAATAGGCTCCTCTAAGAACTTGAAAATCTCTTTCAAAACATGTTGAGCAAGGAAGGAAAGTGGCTCAGTAAAAGCAGCTTTCTGTTTTGATCTCCTGGGAGACCTAAATGATCCTTTCATTCATTGAGATGGGAGATTGTTTGCAAAAGCCAAACAACAGATCCAGAAAGCTTTTTACTGTTCTATCTCACTCGGTTCAAAATCATGTATCAGGATACCTGATCACTCCATCAGGCATTTCACTGGTCTGAAGTGGAGTGCCCTGATACACACAACTGAGTTATTGGGGAACAGGGACAAGTTATGGTTAACATAATGATTAACATGATTTCTTGTGGTGCTGTCTAATACGATTACTTCTTGGTGATGCTAAGCAGAGGTGCTGCTTTGCAAAGGTTCATTTTGCTCCTGCATACACAGAAACCAGAAAGCTGCTGTCCCTTTCTGAACCTGGTGGGGAACTCCATCATCCTGAGCTAGACTGAGGGTTCAAGTGAAATGAGAAGTGTCTGAATCCTGACGTTTTGCAGCTGGGTTTCAGTTCTGCTGTTACAGCATTACAGCTGTTTGATGAACTGATGGAGGGAGAAGTTGCTTCATAATGGCAACTGTGACTAAACCTGTGATTTTCCATCCCTTAGAAGGTTGCCCTGAAGGACAAACCCAGCAATTTAGCACTCAAGACAGCAGCCTGCCTCCCAAGTCACCAAGTGTAAGAGAACCTTTGTTGGCTCTTCTTTACTACAGCTGGGGTTTGTGATCTTTACTGTTCTTGTTAATGGTGGATTTACCAGGTTTGAGAAGCAGAAACTGCTTTTACAGAGCCTCAGGACTCTGTGCAAAATTCACCCTCCCAAAAGAGTGAGCTCTGAACAGCAGAACACTTATGGTGGTTATTTCTCCATCTGTGTCTAGAAACTCCTCATTACTTTCTGGCCTTCATCTCTGGGTGTGGATGTTTTCCAGTTTAATTGCCCACAATATTACTGTTGGTACAGGAAACAGAATCCCAGACTTACAAATGGGAGAGAATAAAGACAGTGAAACAGAGCTATTGCCACCCTGCACACACAGTAGTGGACAGCCTGGAAATGAACAGGCTGTACTTCGTTCTGCAGGACCAAGCAGAGGCAGGAAGCTGTGTGCAGTGGAGTGCTTTCCTGGAGGAGGGGTTTGGTAGTGAACAGCTCTTCTTGGTCATCTGACAGCAAAGGTTCCCATTTCTTTTTCTCCTCCATTAAATGTAAAATGATGAATTGCACAAACAAGTGGTAGAGCAGAAGTGACCAGGCTCCTTTGGGTGGGCTGCAGCCCTTCGCTCTGCAAGGACCAGCAGCAGCACCTCAGCCCTGGAACCTTTGTGGACCAGGTTTGCACTGCCTGGTGCTGACACTGACCTGATCTTCAGGGGGATCCAGTTCATCTTTGTTTGGGTTTTTTCCAGCTCAAGGAGTGTGTTTTAGCCAATGAGGAACTGGCAGCAAAGGAGCGGAGGAGGATGAAGGACTGCTTTGAGCGTTACCAAAGGTCTGGACTTCACTAAGCAGGACTAACTTAGCCATACCCGTGTGACTTAGTGGATTAGCTTGTTGTGTTTTTTCTGTCTATCCCCTGTCCTCAAGCTTGATGCATGGGGTGTAAATTCATCACAGATCCTATCTTTAGAGGCTCAGGCTTTTAGCTGAACTGTTTGAGACTCGTTGTAGTACCACAGGTAGCCAAGGTAGCAGTGATCATGTTTGCCCCAGACCATGCAGATGGTTCCCCAGCAGGGAATGGAGGGTGTTCCAAAGAACTGCAGGTTTAATAATGTTGATAGAGTCCTCCCATGCGAGGAAAGGTCTGACATTCACTATCTGACAAACTGCTGACAGTCAAGACCAAGCTCCATGACAGTGAATGGGGCAGATTTCCACCCTCCATCCTGTTCAGATGCTCTTGTTTGAAGGCTTGTTCTCCTAGTGCTTGATGTCTTCGCTGATCCCTGCTGTTCTGGAGCATGAGAGCAATGAAAACCTTGTCAAACAGGGACCTTAGTGCTAGTTTTACCTAGAGGTGTGCTCCTAATGGCTGTTGACAACAGTGTTTTGATTAAAGAAAGGGCTTTGCATAGGACATCAGCCCTACCCCACACTTCAAGAAGTATAAGGAGGTCTCCATGAGTTTAGACCCGTTCTGTCTCTTTGCCAGCAGTCAGAGCTGCGGGTTGTGAGAGCAAACCCTGGTGTTCAGCCAGCACTGGGGGCACCGGCCCACGCTGAGCTCCCGGTGCGCTCAAATGCGCTCGTGTGTCTGCACAAACCCTCTTCTAAACCTGACCCTCTTTCAGGAAGAGAGCGCTGCGAAGGGCACCCAAGGGCCGGCACCACGAGGCCGACTGGGAGAACACCACGGGCAGCGACAACACCGACACCGAGGGCTCCTGAGTGCGGAGGCGACCGGCGCGGGTCTGTCTGTGCCCGTGGGCTCACTGCGGTTTAACCCCGATAAAGGAACACCTGTGGAATGTTGATGTCTGTAACAGTGGGGTTTAGGGCTGAGGTCCCCTTGTCCGTTTCCCTCTCTGGAGGCGTTGTGAGCCCACCCCGACACGCTCCTGTAACCCACCCTGGGTGTCCCTTCCAACCCTAGTGATGCTGTGCTCTCTCTCCTACCACTGCAGTGGTGGGAGATGTGTGTGGTGCACAAGGAACCAGGATGCACTCTCTGTGGGCCCAAAGCCCAGGCTCAGCCCCGCTGGGCCCGGGACGCGCTTTTAGTTGAAGCCTCTGACGGGCACTGCTCCCAACTCAGCCCCTGCCCTCACCCGCCATGGCCGCCGCCATTAGCCAACATGGCCGCCGCCAGCAGCTAACATGGCCGCCGCCATTACCCATCATGGCCGCCACCGCCTCAGTGCCCGCCCCCTCCGCGCGCCTGCGCCAGCGCCATGCAGCGCGCGGCGCGGCCGTTGCTCGGGGTCTTGCGCCGCGCGGCCGCACCATGGCGGCCATGGCCCGCGCCGCTGCCCCTCCGCCCGCTGCCCCACTGCGTGCCCCACTGCGTGCCCCACCGCCCGCCCCACCGCCCGGCCTGCACCGCCACCGGCCCAGGGCAGCAGAGGACCAAGCACTACCGCCTGGTGTACACCTGCAAGGTGGGCGGGGCCGGGCCGGGCCGGGTCCGTGTGTGAGGGGCCTGGTCCGCCTGTGAGGGGCTTGGTCCGTGTGTGCGGGGCCGGGTGCGTGTGTGAGGGGCTTGGTCCGTGTGCGCGGCTTCGGGTCTGTATCTGAGGGGCCGGGTCCGTGTGTCAGAGGCCGTGGCGGCGCCGGGCGCTGCGGGCCGAGGTAAACGGCATTTCCAGAGGAGGAATCGCCCATGTGTGCGGGACAGGTCAGCACAAAGCTGCACGGCATCGTCACACATAAACCGCCTGGTAACGGGGAGGGGGAAAGGAACCTGTTAACGAAGTAACTAAAGAGTTTTTCTCACTAAGAGCCCCGTTGCGGTGCTCACAGCCACGTTCTCTTTGCTTTGCAGGTCTGCCAGACCCGATCGGCCAAAACCATTTCCAAGCTGGCCTACCATAACGGCGTGGTGATCGTGACGTGCCCGGGCTGCGGCAACCACCACGTCATAGCCGACAACCTGGGCTGGTTCTCGGACCTGGAGGGGAAGCGGTAGGTGTGCGGGGTCTGGCAAGGGAAGGGGCTGCGGGACCCTGCCGCATCCCTCAGCCGACCCCTGCTTTGTTTGGTGCTTCCAAAACGTGGTTCAGAGCAAACCGGAGGTGGTGTTGGGTGCTTCAGTTCTGTGCCAGTTTCTCAAACCAGCTTCTGTAATCTCTTGGTTCTGTGATCAAACTGGGTTCTGCCACCCATAATGTTCACCATCACTGTTGAAGAGCCAGATAGAATGGTTTGGGTTGAAAAGGAACTTAAAGATCCAGTTCCAACTCCAGTGCCACGGTGTAAAGCTGCAATAGCAGCTGTGTGGTACGCAGGCACCTTATTGGTGCCAGTAGGTGGATTACTGTGTATGGAGCTCTGTTCTTCCTCAGGCTTCATCACATCACTGCCAGGCTTCCCTGGCTAAATGTTCCAGACATGCAGCCTGTTGGATTTCAGTGGTAATTCCCTGAGATGCCTTTAAGAATTTCTGTTTAGCTGTCATTGTTAAATCACTGATCCCGATGGATTGAAACAGCCCCAGAAGGTTTGGGTGGTTTGCTCTGCTTCCCAAAGACTTCATATCCTGGTGATGCTCATGTGTGATGCACTGAGAAGTGTGAAAGAGCGGTCCTGTGCTCTGCCTTTGCTGTGGAGTCACTGTTGGTTCTCACATCGCTGTTCAGGAACATCGAGGAGATCCTGGCAGCCAAAGGGGAGCGGGTGAGACGTGTGGCTGGGGAGGAGGCCCTGGAGCTGCTCCTGGAGAGCTCGGCAGAGACCGGGTCCGGAGGGGAGCCCACAGAGGGAGAAGGTGGGGAAGCGCCCCCCAAGATCGGCAGCAAGGGGCAGACGTGACAGACGGGACCTGTGTGCTCTGCTGATGGCAAGAGAGACTCTTAACCTCCAGTCCTTGGTTTCAGTGGTCTGTGTTTAATAAACTGCGGGATTGGTCTGTCTTCATTGTGTGCCTGGTCTAGTTTTGCCTTTGGGCAAGCTGATGTTTTAGAAATGGGGTCTGGATGTCTGTCCTGGTACTTGTTTTGCTGATTTCACTCAAGCCTTGGTGCTTCAGCAGAGGCAGGAGCTTTGTTCTCTGCTGAGAAGGGAGCCTCTTGTCTGGCTGTTTTAGCCTAAGGAGGTGCAGCTGGGGCTGGAGGCTTCAGCCATGGCTCCTGGCCTTGCCCAGGTGCTGCTGCAGGGCTGATGAGCAGAAGAGCCAATTGGTACCACCTGAGGAGATGGGCCTGACCCTGTGTGTGCCGGCAGGGCCACACTGACCCCGCAGGAGCCTCACATCAGTGCTGGGTGCTGCTTTTCCCCTTCCAGAGCTCTGCTCGGGGATGAGCGGCCCGGTGCTGGGTTATGCAATTCCGTGCTGCTGAGGGGGAGGGTGGGCGTGAAGGCAAGATGAATGTTTCTTGAAGCACGTTGGAGATAAGTGGAGCACCCAGAAAGTTGTCTCAAGAGTTACTTGACAGTTATTGAGCTTATTAACACCGCTGCTGCATGTTCACATCAGCTAGAAGAAAAAATAATGCTGGGATAAATGAAGCATGTAGGAGCTGAGCAGCATGTAGCACTCAGGTAGCGATGAATCAGGCAGGTGGTGAGCACACTGGGCTTTGCTTCCTCTGCCTGCATGGAAGTTTAACTGCTCTTGAGGCCCATTAGCATCAAGCACTTGAAGGAGCTGCTTTTTGTGGTTTTAAACTTGCAATCAAAGAGTAATTCTGGTTGGAAGTGACCTCTGGAGGTTTCTAGGCCAGCCCCCTGTGCAGAGGATGCTCAGGGTCTTGTCTTGAACACCTCTGAGGATACAGATCCACAGCCTCTTTGGACTCCTGGTATTTGACCACTAACTGAAATCCCCTGTGTTTTGGCTGACACCAAACCCTGTCTCTGTTCTCTCTGCCCTTGTTAACAGCAGGCTATAAAAGCAGTAAAATCCCTCCTGGCCATTGTGTCTCTGGGCTGAACAAACCCCCTTCTTTCAGCCAAGCACATCCAGGTGTTTGTGGTCCTTAATCAGCCAAGGATTCAGTGAGGGCATTGCAGGTGTTAATGGGATTACTTCATCTGAAGTGTTCCTGCTCATTTCATGTGTGTTGCATTATAGCCACGGATCAGTTGTGTTCCCGTTGTGTGGAAGTTCAGGGGGATGAAGCAGCGCTGAGGGGCAGGATCTTCATCCGTCAGCCACCCGTGTGTGCTCAGATCCTGGTGAAACAGCTCTGGAGCAGCTTGGGGCTGGGTCAGTCAAACAGAGGCTCAGGGCTGGGCTCTCCCTCCCTGTGTGTTTGCTCTGCTGGCAGGGGGGTTGTTTCATCCCCTTTTCCCTGAGGATCAGCATTGTGCCTCCATTGTGCTGATGCTTTGCTGGGTGGCACAGAGCAGGGTTGCCTTGGAGACACTTAATTTACAACCTGACCCTTTTATGTTGCTTTCCTTTACCTTTCTGACCTGTTCCTGTGCCCCTAATTTGGAAAGGTGGGGATAAGTTTTGCTGTTTAACACTGCTGCTCATGGGCTTTCAGCTGGAGGGGTGAGGGCTGCAGTTTGCATAGGACACAGAAGGATTTGGGGCTCACAGATTGCAGGTAAAACACTTTTGTGCTGCCTTTGGAAGTGGGATTTGTGTCGTGGGGAGGTGGCTCTGGTCTGGAAGAGGCTCCGGGTGAGCTCGCTTTGGTTCGGAGCAGCCTGGCAGGCCGGGCTTTAGGGAGCAGTGAGAAGAGGAGCCTTTCTCCTGACATGGAGCTGTGTCAAGAGGGGAGTAAGTCAAGAGGAAGGCCTGGTGCTGAGGGGCAGGGGAGTGACTGACGGTGAAATCAACCAGGTGAGTCTTTGTGGCATGGAAAGAGGTGACCAAGGGGGACAGAGTGGCGTCCACAGGGTGAGCAGCACACATGAGGTGTTTGCAGGTTCCTGGAAGCATTTCACTGGCTGCTAAGGGATGGAGCCTGAATCCTGGCCCACGGGGGCTTTTCTGTGAAATACCAACTCCTTTGCCTCTTGTTTTCTGCCTCTGAGCAGACCTTCCTGCCTTTTGCAATGCAGCCGGATCCCAGAGGCAGTCAGGTCAGTGCGGGACTCTGATGGCCTGTGTCTGTCGCTACTGGTGGTTACTGGTGGTGTGGCCCAGGCCCTGCAGGCAGTGGTGTTTGGTGAAGGTGGGTGCGATGGGGGCTCTGTGGGGCAGAGGGGCAGGCCTGTGCTAGGCCCACACTGGGGGGGTGGGCTGCAACCCCCCCCAATCAGGGGCTGTCTGACATAACCCCCTCTGCTCCCTGCTGCCCTGCACAGAGCCAGCAGCAATGAACTGCCATGCTTGCTGTGCTGCGGGAGCCACGGGGGAGCTGCTCCAGGGATCTGCTGCCTCGCTGAGAGCCATGGGGCAGGTACGTGTCTTCTGTAGCATCAGTGCAGTGAGGAGGGGTGCTGGAGGCTCTGAAATGAATCACCACTCTTAGTTGTGCTGCCTGCACAGGCTCTGATCTAGGCGAGTTCTGGGCCTCCAGGTCCTGCTGTAGTGCAGGCCCCTGGGCTGGGCTTCCTGCAGAGCCAGGCAGGAGTTAACCTGGCCCCTGGCTGTGTCCTGCAGGCAGGGTCCCAGCGGGTTCCTGTGGGGAGCTGCCGGAACCTGTCCCGCTCCAGCCTGGAATTTACAGTGCCCGGGTGCCCTGGGCCAGCGCCCTGCAGCTGAGCCCCTGCAGTGCAATGGAGCTCAGTGGTGGCCCGAGCAGCAGCACGAGGCTCTGGGGAGGGCTGAGGTGAGCACAGGGGCTCAGCCCTGACGTGACTTGGCAGATGAGCAATGCAAAGCCCCCACAGGCCTGACATCAACCGTGCATCACCAGAGCCCCGTGGGGCCTGGGAACAGCTGCGTACAGAGAGCAGGAGCTGTTTTCTGCTGGAATCTGCTGGAGTTTGAGCTCCTCTTCACCTCCAGCCCTGCCCCAGGGACCCTGCGCTGCGGAACTCGCACTCCACAGCTGCAGCCCCAGCCAGGCCCTGTTAGCGCTGTGTGGGCTCCAACAGTCCCACATCTCTCAGGGGGTGTCAGCACTGGAGAGCTCATCCCTGCGTGGGCCCAAGCTCTGGGGGTGCCTTGGCAGTGTGGGAGAGGGGAGGGCTGGTGGGGGACACCCACAAGGATTTGCTCTGGGTATGCTCAGCCTCCGTCCTCTGTGCACTGGGGACGTGGTTCTGTCCCCAGCTCACACACAGACTCCCAGCACAGAGGTGCTCCTGTCCTGGCACCTGAGGAGAGGAGCTGCTGGCTTTTCATTGGTCAGGACTTTGACAGCACCAGTTACCGTGTGTGGGAAGCGCAGCTGGGACTTGGATTTATCCCCACAGGGCTCAGGATCCAAAACCTGCTGCTCCCGGACCCGCTCCATGGCGAATCCCAAGGACCTGCTCCCTGCACTGTGATGGAGCTCATGCTGCTGCTCTGTGAGTACCTTTGCTAAGGGCTTTGCAGAGCACTCACTGCCCCTTTCCTTGGGAGCTGCCCTGGGGAAACAAGACACAGGCACCGAGGCAGAGCTGAGCCTGAAGGGAGAAGCTCGGCCGCATTCCTAGAGCCTGGAGGGCTCAAGCTGCCCAAGGAAGGCCGGGGCTGCTTGGTCTGCCCCTGTTGTCCTGGTGACCCCTGGGCTTGGGCCATTGCTCTGGGCAGGGAATGCTCAGGGCTTTGTGTGTTCTCTCTGCAGCCGGGCAGGGAAGAGGCTCCCTCAGAGACCCCTGGGATCTCCACATAAGGGATGTGCAGGTGGGGGCTTGCACCCTTTTCTTAGCCCTTCCCCATGGTGAGAGCACCACCCCCCCCCCCAGCCCCGTTCCCTGCCTGCAGGCCCAGAAATGATGAAAAGGAACTTGCTCCTTGAAGCTTCGACACAAATATTTATTAAGCACAACCCCTCCCCTGGAGCTTTATTCATTTCTAATATATTAATTCATTTGGCAGATTGTTCTTTAGAAAAAAAAAGGAAGTACCTGGGGGTTGAAATTCCCCATTAAAATGACATTAGCAAATGCACAGGTAAAAAATAAATAAGCTCATACATTCAAGTCTATGGCAAATAATCAACACCTCGGGAAGCCTCGTGGGCAGTTCCAGGCCAGCGCCTGGCTGGGAGCTGCTCAGCCCCTGCTGCAGCCGGGCCACGTCGTGGTGGTGGTGGCAGTGGTGGTGGTGGTGGTGGGGTCAGTGTACTCAGAGTCCTCAGACCCAGCCCCGGCCCTGCTCCGAGCTCCCTGCAGCAGCCCCGTGGTCAGTGCAGGCCGGTGAGTGCCTCTCTGGGCTGGAGTTCCTGCTGCTGCTGGGAGACGTCTCCATCAACCGCACTGCAAATCCAGTGCTGATTTGTTCTCTGCAGGAGCAGAACTCAGTGGTGGAGCTGCTGAAGTCCAAGGTGGTGAAGAGAAGAGACAATGCTCCACGTCCTGAAGGTCCCTGCTCCCCTCCTCACTGCAGCTGTCCAGAAAGGGGGAGGAATGTGAGTGAGTGTAGACTGGGAGCTGGGTGTGGGGTGGAGCTGACTTCCCCACCAGCACCAGAGCCTGGAGCTCTCCTGAGGCTCCATTCATGGGAGTCAGAACCGGAGAAAAGCTCCGCAGGGCCCAGGAGAGGCTCCGTGCTGGTCCGGGGGAAGGAGGCCGTGATCCCGGCTGCGGTGGGACACGGAGGGAGGACGGGGTGGTTCTGCTGAGGTCAGCTTCCCTGGCTCTGGCTGCAGGTCACTGCTGAGTGCAGGCTGCTGCCCTGGGCACACTCACCTGCACACGGGGCTGTCCTGGGTGAGCCTCCTGGCCCTGGCACCAGCAGCAATGAGGTGCCCCCGTGTGCCCTGAACCGCTGGGCAGAGCCCTCCTGCCCCTTCCCAGGCCCAGGGGCAGTTCCCTCCGGGCTGTGCTGTGAGCAGGGCCTGGCTCTGGTGCAGGAGGAGCAGAGGCTGAGGGGCTGGCGCAGGGCTCACCGCAGAGTCCTCAGCAAACCTGTGACCAAGGCTGCTGCAGGGGGGGTGAGGATTAAAAGGACTCTTGTGGCCCCTCACTTGGGCTTGTTTCCTCCTCTGGAAGGAACAAAGCTGAGCAAGATGTTCCAGGGAAGAATCCGGAGCGGTTCGTGATGCAGGCAAGACACGAAGGCTTCAAACGGGAAAAGGTGCTCTTCCCTTCCCAATTAAATTAAAGTGTTGTGGAAATAAAGGGATGGAGGCTGGAGCGACCCCCCCGTGCTGGGCTCCTCCTTGGCTGCCAGCACAAGTTCCTGGGACCCCGCTGCCTTCCCTGGTGCTGTGCCCGGTGTTGCAGTGTCCATGTGTCCTATAAAACCCCGTGTTTAAAAACTCTCCCCCATCCACTGGGCCTCTTGCAGCACCTCCGGGAGCTGGCGGGGCAGTGCTGGAGCTGGAGCTGCAGCTGCGGGACAGTCTGGGGCCGTGCAGGAGCCTGGGTTTGAAACCACCCACGCTTCTTTAGGAGAAACAAAACGAAACCAAAGCAGCCCCCCCAAGCCCAGGCCCAGCTCTTAGCTGGAACCAGAGCGCTGCCGCTCCTCCGCTGCCTCCTGTGCCAAGGCCAGATCCACGCGCTGCTCATCCATGCGCTTGGCCTGCACGCGCTGGATCAGGCTGAAGAAGTCTTCATCGGGCATGGTGGGTCCGCGGGGGATGGAGTCCGGGGGGGCGCAGCGCTGGTCATCGATCCTGGCCGACTGCGGGGGAGAGCGGGCGTTAGGGAGCGGGGCTGGCGGGGAGCGGGTGCCCGGAGCGTGCGCTCCCGGCGGGGGATGCGGAGCTCCTGGCTCCAGCATCGGGGAAGAGGGCACCGCGCAGAGGGGGGTCTGCGGCCACAGCCCCCTTGTAGAGCAGTGACCGAGCACAGCCCTCAGGACGGGAAAGAGAAGGGCCTGGAGGCATCGCCAGGCCCTGCCCGGGTGCACAGGGTGGGGGGTCAAGGGTTCCCCCCTCGATGCCGGGACCGTCTCCCCTGTACCTGGCACTTGATGAGCATGTTGAAGAACTCGTCCCCGGGCTCCTGGGCGTCCCCCTCCACGCGCAGGTGCCCCAGGTTGTTCTGCGTTATCCGCAGGCCCGGCAGGTTGCCCACGTTGGCGCGTTGGTCGTCCAGGCGCCGGCTCTGGGAGCTGGCGATGAGGTCAAAGAACTCCTCCGTCTGCGGAGATGCCATCAGGGAGGACTGCGCTGGAGGGGAGAGGAGCACAGGGCAGGGTCACGGCTCTGCAGGACACCCAAATCCTCCCCATCAAACCGCTGCCCAACCACCCCAGCTAAGGGGCAGGGGCTGAGCCGGGCAGGGGCAGAGCCAGGCAGGGGCTGAGCTGGGCAGGGGCAGAGCCAGGCAGGGGCTGAGCTGGGCAGGGGCAGAGCCGGGCAGGGGCAGAGCCAGGCAGGGGCTGAGCCAGGCAGGACGCTGCCTTCCCGCATGACCATGGGGACCATTCCGCCCTGCACAGGGGAGCGGGAGCAATCCCAGTGCCCGCCTCAAAGCACGAGCGTTATGGGGAGCAAACCCCCCTGCCCCATCCCGCAACCACGCGCTCCCTTTCCCTTAGGCTGCAGCCCCAGAGCTGCCCCGCACAAAGGGTGAGCACAAAGGGGGCTCTTCACCAAGCACCAGGGGCTTGCCCGGGGCAGTGACAAAGGGAGGGCTTCAAACACAGAATCTGGGCCAGGACCTGGGCAAAGCGAGTCCTGGGAACGCCTCGTGGGCAGCGCTCAATGGAAGGAGCCTCTTGGCCCCTGGCAGCTCCCAAACAACAGCCCCTGTGCTCGGGGCAGGACAAGCACAGGAGAGCCACGAGAGCCCTGTCCCACTGAGCACAGAGCACACGAGGGGAGCGTGCTCCTGGCACAGCGGGATCCTCCCAGAGCCCCAGCAATGCACAAACCCCTCAGCACTGACCCACAGATGAGTTTCTTCCCCTTCAGCTCACACAGAAACCTTCAATGTGTCCGAAAGGCTGAGACCAAACCAGAGCTGAGCCCAGCCTGTGCCTGCTGGTGCGTTCTGTGGAGAGCTCCACGTTTCAAACTGAGCCCCCTGAGGTGCCCTCTCCAAACGCGCTCCTGCATCAGAAATGGCTCCAGAACCGCGCTGCTCATTTACACCCTCAGTTTAGGGGACAGAACCCTTCTCCCCTCCCAGCCCCGCGCTGCCACCCGGCCCCTGCTCAGCACCGCTCCCAGAGCAGCCTCTGGCCGCAGGTCCTGCTGCACTCGAGGGGTGTCGGGCTCTCCTGCCCTGTCCCTACTCAGTGCTCATTATGAAGCTGCTAAATGAACCCACGGGCTCTAAGGAGGGCTCTGAGCGTGACCCTGCACGTTTGAACCATTTTCTGTTTAAGCAAAGGTCCTCAACACCGCATTGTAAGGAAGACACAAACCCGAAGCACAGACCCAGCCCGGGGCTGCCTTTCCTGTCCCATCCACTCGCCAGACACTGCCTCCATTTATCCCTGTTCTTGCTATGGGGAGCGGGCTGCCTGCTGCATCGCTCTGGCCCCTCTGTTCTTACAGAGCCCCCATCACCAAGAGCTGCACAAACTCCAGACCTTTTCCTCCATGGCAACCCCACGAGGAAACCTGGCAGCCCTTGAAGCTGTGGGGGAACCCTGCGCCAGCCCCGCGGGCCCCAGCTCCCCGGGCTCTTACAAGGCTCCTTCAGCACTGAGCATCAGCACCTTCCTCCTGGAGATGCTGGCAGAGGCCCAGGTCCTTGTGCCAGCCTCGCTGTGTTCCGACGGCGACACCTTCTAAAGGTCCATACTGAGGAAATCCAAGTGTATTTTGCACCTCTTACTCCCCAAGCCTCAGCTCGCATTCTCCAGCCTTTCCCTCAGCAACCATTAACATAAGAATGTTTTTTCGGTCCTTAAATAAGGCTGGGGATTGCCAAAGGGCTGCTCAGTTCAGAGAGCTGAGGCTTGGGGAAGAACATCACAAGATTGCCACTGAAACCACAGCGGCCGGGCCGGGCCGGGCCGGGCCAGGGGAGCAGCATCACTCCCGTAGCAAACACCTGGTACTCACAGATCCGCTCTCCCAGGGCAGGGACCGGTGTGGCCGCGGCCTCTGCAGCCTCCGATGGGCATTCCTCCAGCGGGCAGCGCTGGTCGTCCATCCGGTTGCTCTGGAACTTGCTCAACAGGTCAAAGAAGCATTCCTCCTCCGAAGGGCTCCGGTTGATCTTCTGGGGAGGCAGCAGAGGAGGAGGGAGTCAGAACAGCCCAGACAGCTCCCGGTGCCCAATGGCTCCGTCTGGCGCCAGCCCCGTTCCAGCTCTGGTCCGAGGTGGCTCCCGGCCGGTGCCTTTGTCCCGCGCTCGCCAAGCCTGAAGCCCGCCGCTGCCCGGAACAAGCTCTCCCTTCCCCTCACTGGGCACAGCCCAGCTCCTGCCTCCATTCAACCTCTCCAGGCCACTGCACCCCCAGAGCTTCCCCCGGGTCCGCAGCCCCCGACAGGCACCGAGCCCCAGCCACCGCAGAGTCACAGGGCTCGGGCAGAGCCCCAGCACCCGGTGCCCAATGGGGGTTTATTGACATCGGGCTCAGAGGGGCTCTTTGGGAAGCGCTGAGCTGTGTCCTGGGGAGAGCGCTCCCAGAGCACAGGGCACCCGAAGGGCGATCTTCCCAAGGAGCCACTCCCAGCAGGATGGGAAACCAACAGCGACAAGAGGGCACCTGCCGGGCTCAGGGTGCGTCCCCGTGTGCTGGGCTGCTCCCACCGGGTGCTGCAGGGGATCCCCAGCAGCAACCAACCAGAACCTCCTCGTTTGGGCCTCCCTGTGCTCAGCTCTCCTGCAGCGTGGGGCTGGGGGTGGCCAGTCTGGGAAGGGGCCCTGGGTCCCTCCTGGGGAGCAGCATCCCCATGGAGAGCCGGCCCCGAGCACCAGACCCCTCAGCAGGGATCCCCTTGGCTGTTCATAGGTGAAGCCCCTTGCCCAGCTCCACGGGAGCCCTCCCAACCCCACCAGGAACGGTGCCGGTGCCATCCCCAGCAAAGAGCAGGGGTACACCGAGGCCCTCGAGGGAGGTCTGCAGTGGGGCGGGCCCCGAGCCGAGCGGGTTAAAGCCACAGGTTGGTTCAGTAAATGAAGGAAACCAGTTTTCCTGTATGCAAAGCGGAGCAGATGAGATGCACTCAGCTTCTATTTAGGGCAGCGTCAAAATTAGCAGCGGGCCAGAGAGGAACACGAGCGATGTGGGAGCTGCTCAGGGAGGGGAAAAGCCCCTCTCACCTCTCCCGTGTGCCGAGCGGCTGCTCAGACCCTCAGACCCACCAACAGCTGCGCCTTGCAAACCACAGCCCGCTTGAGCTCGCTGCACCGCACCTACCCCAGCTCCGTGACCCACATTCCAGGCTCATTCACACCGAGCCTCCTCCCGCTTCCCCGCACCGCACCGAGTAAAGCAGAGCAGCCCCTGCTCCCTGGGGAGGGTCTGCCCTGCACGGAGCCGCCGCCTCGGTCACAGCCCCCGGCTCAGGGCTTCCCCCCCAGGACACGGCGATTCCAGGCACCAGGATCCCTGCTCGGAGGAGCAGGATGCTCTGAGCCGGACGGGTGGGATGGGGCTGCTGCGCTCCCGGTGCCTCCTGGTGCTGCAGCACCCATGGGAGCAGCAGGTTGGGGCCAGCTCAGGACATGGGTGCTGCTCCCCCATCCGCAGCGTGCCCCAGGCCTGCCCCTCTCTAATGAAAATGCCCTGATGTGACAGACACGGGCACTCGGCTCCCTGCCCTCAGCCTGCTCCTAGCCCCGAGGAAGGAGCTGGGAGGGCAGATGGATGCGCAGTCACACCCTGGAGCCCACCATCTGCTACCGAGCTGTGCTTGCCCAGTGCTTGGCACGTCCAGGATGGTCCAGAGGCTTCCCGAGAGCCAGGGCATCCCCTAACGGGGCTGAGCAACAGCACAGACACAGCCACCGGCCACCATGGGCCCGGACCCAGAGCCCTGCACGGCTCCTGAGCGGCTGCTTTGGTTTGCAGCCCTGAGACCACTCCTCACCCCCGGCTGGTGCCCCTGCCTGGCCTCATCGCCCATCCTCTGCCTCTAGCACCACAACTGCCCCATTGTGTCACCAGCCTCTGCTCAGGCGACCTCCACCATGGGCAAAGAGGCAAAACAGCCCCGAGGGACCCAGGCACACGCGCACCTCTCCCTGTGTGCAACAAGTGCGGAGCTGCTGCTCCTGCTCCCTGCCCGCAGGCAGGCCAGGGACAGGCAGTGCCCCACGTGGGGATCAGAGCTCGATCCCTTTTCCCACCTGGACACTGCTGGCTCACTGGAATGCTGAGCAACCTGGCTAAGGACAGCCTGGGAGCAGGACTGTGCTCCTGAAACAGGCGGCCAGGCTTTTGCAGGCATTTACCTGCGGTGGGTGAGCAGACTTCTCAACCTGACAGGATGGATTTGGGGTGTATAAAACACCCCTGGGCTGTTGGGAAGGCAGCGAGAAGCAGGAGGTGATGGGGGCCACATTCACTCGGGCTCAGGAAAACCATTAAACAAATGCTGAAGGCCTCATTGCCAGAAATGAACCATTTCCCAGTTGCTAACACCTGAAGCCACGACCCCACAGGGTTTCTACCCTGGACACCGCTGCCCACCGGGGTCTCTGCAGAGCAGAGCTCCTCTGACACATTCCTGCTCCTGAGCCCCATCCTGGGATCAGCAGAGGACGTGCTCATTATTTCCATGCTCATCTCACATGGTGCTCCCATGCCTGGGGTCCCAAGGGCCCTGTGCAGGCAGATGAGGAGGACCCTCGTGCCCAGCCCCACACACACACAGGGTCAGTCCCTGGTGGAGCAGGGCAATGCCCTGGCACCGCAGCCTGGGCTCTCTGCTCCCTGTCCCCAGTCTCCCTTTGGCACCCAAGGAGCCCGTACCCACCGCCGGCCCCAGCTGTGCTCCCCCCTGCACACCAGCTCCTGCTGTTTGCAGTGCCCTCAATGAGCAGCTCTGGCAATGGTGGCTTCTCCCACAGCTTCCTGCTGCGCTCCTGGGTTTAAAATCATCCCGGGGAGCCGGGGATGTGGCACCGGCCGGGGTGGGATGCGGCACCGGCCGGGGTGGGATGCGGCACCGGCCGGGGTGGGATGCGGCACCGGCCGGGGTGGGATGCGGCACCGGCCGGGGTGGGATGCGGCACCGGCAGGGGTGGGATGCGGCACCGGCAGGGGTGGGATGCGGCACCGGCAGGGGTGGGATGCGGCACCGGCCGGGGTGGGATGCGGCACCGGCCGGGGTGGGATGCAGCTTGCTCGGCCACTGCTGAGCCCCACCGAAAGCCCGTCCGACCACAGCCACACAGCAGCACGCTCCAGGGTGCCCTGGGAGGGCTCAGAGGTCCCCAGGGACCATGGCAGAGGATTTCTGCCCTGGCAGAGCCACGCGCATCCCCCAGCGGTTCCTGCCACTGCCACAAGCACCTGATGTACCATGGATGGGTGAAGCATCCCCTTCCAAGGGCGCTTCACCACCGAACCAAACTGCAGATGCTCTCATGAGGACCAAACCTTGCTCCTCTGACAGACCAGCTGCCCCCCTCACAGCTGGTGTCCCCATGGGGCGCTGGGCTGCCTTTGGTCCCCCTCCTCTCCCTCCTGCCCCAGTACAGCAGCAAAGAGCTGTCAAGATCAAAGGTTTCTCCCCAGCTTTGCCCATCCTTCCGAGGGGACGGCGCTGCCCTACCTGTGAGCAGGACCCGGTGCCCGGCGGCGATGGAGCCCGGTGGGGCTGGCACAGCAGACCCAGCTCAGGAGCTGCTGCTCGAAGGCAGTGATGCTCTGGTGTGCGTGTGCGGGTCAGGGACAAGGTGAGGGCAGCAGCAGGCTCCTGGATAACACAGCAGCCCTTACCCTCACCCCCTCCAAGAGGGAGGGGCATTTAAACCTTGGCTTTTCAACGTGTCCACCAGGATTCCTCCTCCTCCCCTTATTGCAGGGAGGAGACAACCTGGGGATGCAGTGACTTGAGCAGGTCCCACAGCGGCAGAGCTGGGACAGGACCAGGTCTCCAGGAGCAAGCTCTCAACCATGGACAGTGCTTGGAGAAAGTGCCCCTTGTTCTAGCAGGTGCTTGTCTGCCCAGGCTGGCAGATATCCATCCCAGCACATCTACACACCTCACCTGCCTCTCCCTCTATAAACCAGACACATCACAACTGCTCACCTCCCCTCTTTTCAAGGCAGCTGACATCAAAACCACCAGGCAGGAGTGGGGCTGTGGTGGTGCTGGGAGCGCTTCATCCCAGACTGCTCCGCTCCCTGCTTGTCCCCTGCCCGTGGCTCTGTATCCCTGCGTTACCCCAAGCCCTCACCCCAGGGGAACCCGCTGCGGGACCAGCACCACCAGCATGGCCACAGCCCCCAGCCCTCACCTCGCAGGTGCATCCCCAGCTCACGGCTTCACCTGGGAAAGGCACCGGGGGGAGGTTTGCAGAGAGGCTCCAGGAGGCACAGAGGGGCTGCAAGAGGGGAACGGAAGCAAATCCCTGGCCAAAAGCTGCAGCTTGTTCTACCGGGAGCTGAAGCGTCTGGGGCACCAACACTGGGCTCGGGAGCGGGGCTCTCCCGATCCCTGACCATCAACACCCGGGCTGGAGTCTCCCTTCCTTGCTGAGACCATCACCTTCAGAGCCAGCAAAGCTCTGAGGCTCGTCCAGCCTTTGCTAAGGACAGCACCGCCAATCCTTAGGTCCTCCAAAAGGCAGGGCCGGACACCCCAGCCTCCCCCAGGGAGCACGGCCGGGCACAGGGAGCCACTCTCCATCCACACTGACCACGCTGTGCTACCGGACATCAGCAGCCCCCGAGCCTGTGCCCTGCTGGCATCCACTCCCCACAAAGTTCACAAAATATCAACAATACAAGTTCAAAATGAAGCTACTGAAAACTTACCCCCCCAGCACACACAGGCGGTACCGAGCCCTGGCCTGAGTAAACCTCCCTCCATCTCCTCCTTGTACCCCCGGTGTATGCTCCCATTGCAGAGGATGGAGGGAAACCCGAACCACCCCGAGCACCACTCACCGAGCCGGCAGCCAGCTCCTCCCCGGGCTCCCCTTTCACCCGTCCGTGGGCCAGGATGCCCGCAGCTCGCAGGGCAGAGCCTGGCGCTCCGCTGCTGCCGCTCGGATGCTCCGGAGCCGCCGCTCCGCCCGGCGCTGGGATTTATGCGGGGAGC